TAGAGAACTTTAAGGGTGGTGATTCAGTTTTAGCGAATAGGTTGACTAATTTGCCAGCTAAAACCTGGAAACTGGGTGTAATCCCATCTGGCTGGTCGCAATCACTGATTGTCCCAACATATAAGAAAGGTCCAAAATCATCCTGTAATAACCATAGAGGGATTAGTTTGGCTAACATAACATCTAAAATACTAGCTTCAATAATTGTCGGACGCCTAACTAAGCTCATGAACTGCAATCACGAGAAAATCAGTCTGGCTTCAGACCTGGTCGTGACTATATCGACCATATATTCACCATTCGTCAGGTTTTAAAACACTGGTATGCTTTTTAGCGTCCGACACTGATAGTTTCTCTTGACTTAAAAGCAGCATTTGACCCTGTAGATCGACTGGTTCTGTGGCAACGTCTATCAATGAAGGATGTATCTCAGAAGTACACAAACCTTGTGAAGGGTCTTTACTCTAACAATAAATGTCGAACCAGAGCTTACGGCGAACTGATTTTCCAACCTCATGTGATGTCCGTCAAGGCGGTCCACGATCTCCACCTTTGTTCAGCTTCATTATAGTCCCATTGATGGAAATAACGTTCTCGTCGACTGATTTTCCAGGAATTGGTCTCCTACCAGGAGGTTCACATATCGACTTAGAATACGCAGATGGCATAGTCCTGTTTGGTGAAGACACTGATAAAATTTAGAGACTTTTGGAAGAACTAAGAAACAATGCCATAATGTTTGGGATGCGTTTATCCTCCTCTGAATGTAAGTTGTCGCCCCAGAACTGACCTACGTCAACACGAACTAAGGATAGGGAGTGACGTAGTCGAACGTGTCAACAACTCCAATTATCTTGGAAGTCTGATCGACCCTAGTGAGATGGAGTCTGACGAAATCTCTGCACGGATTCGAAAAGCTTGTTTGGCTTTTTCCAACTAACGTCACTTATGGATGGGGCGACTGTCTAACCGACTCATTCTTTGTCTCATCCTGGTGCAAGAGCTACTACCAAACTAATCAATGACTGATAGACATGGCCAAATCTAAAAAATGCAGAAAAGTCGGTTGGATAATGTTCGATGCGTTGACAATCAAAGGTTAACTGTCACAGACATTTTCCCAACCGAGTTTTTTTACAGCCAGATGCACGTTTTACTCATGTTTATCCTCATTCGGTAGATCCTTTACTGCATTTTAATTGTTTTAATTATCTACTTACACGCATAGACAGATTCACGAGATGTCCAACAGCTGCATAGACAGTCGGAATCACAGCTGAACAAAAGTGCTGCCCCTGCACGTACTCAGACATTCTTACTCATGGGTGCTAGGTCACGCACTTGACCAATAAACCATACCGGTGAGTAGTAGGCCTGAATGCAATATTTTCTTACGTTAGTCGATTATTGGCAATACTCCTGAGCAATAGGACATGCAACTTTGTGAGGTGTAAACCAACCCGGTTCCTATGGGATTCTATGAGACAGGGTCTTACATTAACACTCATATTAAGTAGGGCTCTAATTATGTAGCTGGCACGCGTGAATATTGCTCTAATCTGAACTCTATTTTGCACACTTTGTCGGAATACACTGTCTCTACTGGTTCTATGTTAGTCAGCTAAAGTTTTTGTATTGTAGGTTAGACATCCATTTAGTATATCACACTACTATGAAACTAAGGTTGGATTTGTACTCAACGTTGTTGTTGTGGATGCGGAGGAGTAGACCAATAATTATCATGTTAAGTCCAATGGTGTCCTTGGACTTTAAATGGACATTTCCTATTGGTCGATATCTGTTCACTGGTTGAATATTGTACACAATGTTGTTTTCTATTTTTATGGTACGATGTAGTATGCTTGGTTAGTATATAAATAGAGTATGTTTGAAATATAATGATTCATATCTCAGAGGTTGTGGCTTGTGTTCTGGACTCAACTAACTGGGCTAGACAGGGAAGTGAGACCAATCGAGACTCTAGGCCGTCCGTTCGTGTTTACGTGTCACTGTAATCGATCGATAACACAGGGTAAAAATCGACAGCAACCTAAAGCCATAACAGTTGTCATGTCAACTTAATGTGTCGCAGACCAGAATAATGGTCAAGTTTACGTTCATGTAATCAATATATCATGTTATGATGTAGCTTTTATTAAAAATAGATTACGCTGTGAATCTTGCTGTGGCTGTAGTTTTTATTTACCACGTCAGACTGCGTCACATCAGACATGCATTGCATGCTGGGATGATATTGCAAGTCAAAGGAAGCCTAATCAAATTCACTGTTTTTTTAAGTAGACCGTCAATAAATAATGCTGCTGGATAAAGGTTTATTGCGCTGAAAACTATGTTTTGATGCATAAATTACTATTGTTTTCAGTCCGTAAACAATATCGTTTGTCCTCTGCTAGGTAAGTTTTACTGGCCAGTAGTTCGTTTCTTTGTGTGTATAGGCTTAATTATCAATACTTAACTATTTTAAGTAACATGTCTGTGCAAGTAGAACAATAATTGCGACACCTGTTTAGTTTAGTATACTTGGTTATCTCATGATTCCGTTTGATCTATGTAACCATAGTGCTTGAAGAAAGTAATGAAGCAGATCAGTTTTGTGAGTAAAGGTGCTAAATCTTTCGTTCCCCATAGTGTGCTTAGGCATCATAACTAGAAAGCGATCACTGAGAGACTATGTATACATTACTGTGTAACTAGCTCCCGGAAGCTGATGTTGAGAGTTTAGAACTTGTACAGTACAGGAGGATATGATGTTGATATATCAAATTTATAATATTTCCACTAGTTCAAACATATCACTTATTCACTCCGTTTGTAATTTTCACGTGAGACAGTAATAATATGAACGCATTATTATAACTTGGGCTTTACTTAAAACGATAGATAATTTATAGTGACTCCCATATCAGTCCTCTCTTAATGAGTATAATGCAAATCAGTCTGCTTATAAATAGAAGAAAGTACTTTGGATTCTGCTGTTGTCATACATTATTAAGTAGTGTTCATTTAGGAAAAAAGTGATAAATATGATTGATGTGCGTTTGTAAAGTGTACGTCTGGCCTCGACCATATTACAAGATCACTGCTATTAAACGGTTTCCCCTGCGTTAAATCGACAGCTGGACAACCAAGTGTTTGTGTTTTCACTTTTCCGAAAAAAAGCAGTATACAGTCCTGGAAGAGCAGTGTTGTACGTCTTAATTAAATGCAACTGGCTGTGAGCTGGTATTAAAAACCTTTGAACAATTTGAAATTTTAGTTTGTCAGACACTAAATCTCGTTGGATATTTGCTCGTGAAAAGAGATGCATATGCATTAGAATACATAAATGGGAGTAAATGAATAAAAGCCGTGCAATATGACATTGAACACATATTACGCTTTGCGCAGGTTGTAATAGCTGACCTAATCGTTAAATAATATTCATGAGCATGTCAGCAAACCACATTTATGTGAATTATCTGATTAAAAACATTATTTGTTTATTGGATTACTCCATATTGTTGACTAAAGCCAATACTATTTGTTTATTTAGAATAGAACAGTTGTGAAACCTCACAGATTACCTTATAGACTGTTTCGCCATCAGAATTATGGTACTATGGAACAATCTACAGAGGGCACTACTAATAGAACCTTCTACAAAGTTTCTTAAAAGGAAGATGAAAGCTCACTTCAGCTTCACAATCACTTCCACCATTTACTAGTTCTTTTTTCCTTTAGTCCAAAAAAGTAAAAAGACTACAGCTTAATATTATTAATGTTAAAGTTGTAAATGTAAATCTGGTGTAAATGTTGTTTCATATTCCATTGTTATTGAAACTACTCCTGAATAAACTTGTAAGGCCGATCCTATCTTGATTTATCAAGGTAACATTCGTGAGAAATCCATGAGATGCAAACGTCTTAGCGCATAGTTCACATGTAAGAAGTAACTTTTAGGAGTAATACAGTACACATTCCCGCTATTTTCTTGAATAACGTAAAGACGCGGGTCCGTGTATAAACTACTAAAGGAAACATCGTTGCGCTCCTAGCCCCTAGCGTCACAGTAGTCGAAGTACAGACACGAGTAATGAGCGTTCTAGCCATCCTCACCAATGGCCCTCCAACTTCCTTTTATGGGCGAAAAAACAGACATACACCACATACTGGTAGCGGATTTCCGGCTTTCTAATGTTAAACTTGCTTTCACGTAAGACGTAATGCTTCCAACTCATCTAATAATGCTATGTGGTGTATTTTTAATAACAAACCTCCTGCAATAGACCAATAAAATCTCTGACTTGACTCCAAGATGTTAAGTGCGTGGGTCTCATAATCCTCCCGAGAACATTACTGGCATCCACTACTACTAGACGCTCAGTATTAGTTTGATTCGCTGATGAGATAGAGTTATCCACAATAATGATGAAAATAACAAACCAGAGACCGTCTCCTTTCACTGCGCCTTATAACATCAAAGATGAAAGTTACGAAAGAAAATGAGTGCAGCTCGAGAATCCCAGACAGCAGCAACATCTTTTTTAGCTACAAAAAACCGTGATTTTCGATATCTACAAAATTATACTAAAAAAACGGATTAACATTTTGTCACATAAAAAAGCAAGGTTGCCCGAAGGGATGCACTGACTTGAGTAGCAGTAGCAAAAACCGAGAAATCAAAGCGGATTCGAAAAAAGGCTCCAACATATGGAGTATTACATAAACTAAAATATTGATGTATGCAGCCACACCAAAATAAAAGTGGAAAAACACACACAACGAGGCAAGTGGACCATCATTGCTTTTAAAGATGGTGGAAACGATAATTCCCGCTTCGTCCTGATTAGTCTCTAAATTCAATGCCAAAATTACGGAACGGAGTCAGATTTAACTGCAGCGTTACTTTGACCTTTAAGTGCTCAGTAACCTCCGTCGGTGAACGACGCCACTCGATCGTTGCCTTATTTTGATGTGAGGTACTCTCAAAAGGTGACATTATGAAATCAGAAGAACTTATTCGCTTGAAAAGTTACTTTCTTAAGAATTCCCGTGTTAAAGATTTCTCTGGTTATGGGGGGAAAATACATACACTTGGGTGGAATAGCAGTGGGTCGAGATTAGCATCTGGATCATCAGACAAGCTTGTAAATATATACTCACTGGAATCCACAAGATTAGTTAGTTCAGATTTTTCTCTATCGGTTGTTTTCAGACAAAAGTACATAGTTTCCGAGGTCATAATGAAAGCGTAGACCAACTTTGTTGGCACCCATCAGATAATGATGTTGTTGCAACTGTGGGTGCAGATAGTGCTATTCGTTTGTGGGACTGTCGGACCAAAAAAGATCCAATCACAGCACAATGTAAAGGGGAGAACATTAATTTGGCATGGTCACCGGATGCACGTTACATCGCTGTTGGTAGCAAAACAGATTTGGTATGCTTATTTAACCTCCTTTTTTGCTCACGCAGCTGTCTTTTTTCACTTTGTTATTTGTTAACCAATACATGCAATCAAATTAATGTTGTTTGTTAATGTACACAACTAAATTCATTTTTACGACAAATATACTTTTAAACGCAATTATAAGATTTATTGGAAAACAAAAGCAACTTTAGAATTTTACTTTGTATCTTAATTGGCCAGCCTTGAAAGTGGTAGCGAGTTTCTGGTTTATTTTGTAAGACCAAATAACTTCAATTTTGTTTTTAATCCATGTTCAGAAATTAGGGGTTCCTTGGTTTATTGTAGCTTCAATATCTTCAAACCATTTCTTCTCAATTTTATCCTTCAATGACTGTGGAAATGTTCCACTGTGAAGACATAACAAGACTTACGTTTAACCTCGTAGTTAACGTTAAGCACATTTTTAAGAAATCGGATCTAGCAGATGCCATGCCACATTAACATATGCCTGTTACCCCTCGTGGAGGAGAATACGCCGTCCACAAGCATTCCTAATCGAGATTTGTTTTGGACGATCCTTCCAAGTTGTTTCTAGTTGTTGTTCATCCTAATCATATCTGCTTCCATTTCTCGGTGCAGTGTCCTTTGGTCTTCCTCTTTTTCGTTTCCCTTAGGATGGAGTTTGATGATTTGCGCAATATATGTCCCATCCACTTCCAGCGTCTTTCCCTAATTTCCTCCTCGGGTGGAAGCTGGTTTGTTTTCTCTCACAGTAGGTTGTTAATGATGGTATCCGACTAATGTATGTTGAGTAATCTTGAGTAGACAACTGTTTATAAATTCTTGTACATTTTTGATAGTGGTTGTACTAGTTCTCCAAGTTTCAGCTACGTACAGTAGAACTGTCTTGATGTTCGTATTGAGGATTTTGACTTTGATATTGGTTTACAGCTGTTTTGAGTTTCATGTGTTCTTCAGCTGTAGGAATGCCACATTAACATAGCAAAATAAAATTGTTTCCAAATAAATCTCAGAGTAGTAGTAAAAAACGATTAGGTACGAGAAAATAAGGGATAGAGGAGTTTCGGGAGTCATGTTCTAGAGAAAGACAGAGTATGTGCATCCTCGCTTTTGCAAACGACTCTGAGCCATGTCACCCAAAGTATAACGATTCAGTCAGTCAGTCAGCTACAACGTAGGACCAGGCACATATGTGCATCGGTCCAGGTTGCCATACCTCATTAGCACAGCAAGATGAACAGCGGATTCATAGGAGTGGTTAGGTCAAAGGTTGCAATAAGGATATAGTATAGGAAGAAAGAATTAGTTCGTAGACAGAAAGAATGAAGTGATTTTAGTCTCTTAGTTTAAGGGAAGACAGAGAGTGTATACACCGACGCCATTGTGGTCGATTCTGAGCCATGTCACCAAGAGTCTCCAACCATTGGTTACGAAAGTCACGCGGACCCCAACCAAGTAGTCTGCATCTACCAACATGGCTCAGACTAGAAGTTAGTGACTTCAGGCACTGATGCCACGTTTTGGTTTGGCCGCCCCTAACTTTCTTCCAACCATCCCCTACCCCGGTTAGCATTGCACGTCGTGGTAATCGGTGTTCAGGCATACGTAATACGTGGCCCAACCATCTCAGTCGATGAAGATTCATAACCTCATCAACTGATTTACCATCATTCCCTAATACCCTGCGTCTAACCTCACTATTACTTACCCGGTGATCCCAGCAGATGCCAGCAATATTTCTAAGACATCTGTGGTCAAATACTAGTAGCTTACGGGTGTCTTCTACTCTTAATGGCCATGTAGTATAACGATTGTTGTCTATTTGTTATTCACTTTGGTAGGATTTTTATTTAGATACCTAATTTGCGTAATTTAAGCATTTTGTTTACCAGCTAAATCTTGTGTCCAAGATTTAAAAATATAACTATTTTTATTACCTCAGATCGCTAAAGTTCCGTTACCACGTTCATGGCTTTTGTCTTAAGTGCATAAATATGTTTGTTACCAGGTAGTTTTTACTCCAGTAATAATTTTCGCGTTTTATTCATACTGAAGAGTTGTTTGCAAATCTATCTGCTTACCACTGTTTTAGGTTTCATGGTTTGATTTGCGTGCTGGTTTCAAAGTGGTACAGGCGGAACAGTTCACTTCAGAAATTAATGAATTCGCCTGGAACCCTAGCGGGGAAGCGTTTCTTTTAACTACTGGTCTTGGAAGTATATTAGTCTACAGGTTGGTACTTAATTACAATTCTTTTCAAAAGTAGCAACAAATTTGCCAATCACACTGATCACATTTTTGAGGGAACTCATTTGGAAGCTATTGTTGTATATTTATCAATGAGACAAGAAGAAAACAAACTGACAATGAGAAATTAGACTTAAGTTTTGCGACGAATAATTGCACTGATGGGTTATGGGGATTTGAACTGATGTATACATTTATCAGGCTCTACGTTGTAACTGGCTGACTCAATACCCTGTAGCAAAACTACCGTGATTAATATGATAAAACCATGAGGCCCACAAACTAAAGAACAACAGACTTGGGAAGACGAAGAGTCGCTTGTTTCCTATTGAGTGCGTAACAGTTGGTTCGTGCTACTTATCAGACTACAAAACATACTTCTCAGCTTCTTGTACTTGGCATATTCCTCCATATATTTTCCTGTAAAAATCTTACAGTGTACTCGGATTACTTAAGAAATGTAGTTTTATCTGGTAAATAATCCATCCTATCGTCTTATGAAAGCTTCAACCCTAATTCTACGGATCCTTGGAACTTATTGTGCACTTACTAACCATAAAATAGACTGAAAACTGTTTATAATAGCGTATAGTTGGAAACTAGGTAGTGAAGTGGTAGTCGTGGTAGCATAGTAACTTTAATTATAGCAATTCAATATATATGCCAACAGATCAGCATTTTTTGTGTATTATTAGACAAATATAATATCGTCTTCATATTTGCTGGTAAGGTATTCCTATTTAAGTAAATAATTAACTCTATAATACCCTGTTTTCAAAACTATCTTTTGACATATTGGCAATCTTACAAGAAATTTACCGTAGCTATCTGATATACTAACTATTTGAAATGATAGGTTTTATTATTTATGCTCCATAGGATTTCCTTTTGTTTGTGTTTTAAAGTACTCATTAATAGTATGTAACTCTCTAAAATATGATTGACGGACATCAGTTTTACTTAGGTAGTGTGTCTGTCGATTGCACGCAGTGCTAAACGGACAGGTTTGATCGAACAAAATAAACTTTTAAGTGTCTCCATTTCATGGTAACTGCATTTTATACACTGTGAAAGTTCTGATTACTAATGTCATAACACAGATATGTTTTTACAAATAATTTGTGGATATATTTTATAATGGAAGTGACAAAGTAATATAACAGATTACAAATTATGAGCGGACCAGTTCTTTTAATTGACTAAACTAAAAAATAATAAGCTATGTTAAACAAGTTTTATAACAAGCCTTGACCAAATAAAATCCTCTCTTTCCAGTATCTACCATTTAAAAAAATGTTACTTATTTTATTTGTATTCTCTCAGCATAATCACACTGATTATCAATTATTATTCTTACAGCCTCCTAATTCAGTAATAGTCTGAGTAGTATAAACTGACTGATCAATCTGAGATTTCTTATAAATAAAAAGTATTTTGATTCTGTGATTTTTTTTATCAAAGTGGGAAACCAGGTGACATGAAACGTGAAGCAAGTATCCAAGCTCACCCAGTCAATGCAATGTGTCTTCAATTTTCACCAACAGGTCATCAATTTGCTGTTGGTAGTGCAGATGCTCTGGTGTCCATTTGGGATGCAGATGAATTTGTTTGCCTACGTACATTATCTCGGTAAGTTTATCGAATTTTTCAGTAACTTTATTTTTTCAAAACTATATTTTTTAAATTAGATTTCATTTATTAAATATAGGTTCATGAAAATGACTTCCATTCATTTCCTAACTGTAAGGGCTAGTAGCAATACTATATGTTTGCTCAAATTGAAACAAATAAAGGAAGTTTCGAATCTGTGACTTAGTGGCTGAAGTTAAACTCCTTAGCCACTTAACTAACGTTCCATTCAAACTATATACAATATTTCAACTGACCGTCCGTAATATTTTGATGATGTTCAATAGCCCCCAAATGTCCTGGTACGGTCGAGAATGTGGAGAGTCAGCTCTCCCTCAAAATGCTCTCACATGGCTACGCGTATACAACCACTGCCTTCGCGGCAGGGGTGTTGTTTACGAAATCGAGAGGACAAAAAGCGAATGTTCGGTGCTTTAACCGGGCTGGTGTATATGAAGGATCCACCTAGGGGAGTTGGAAAATCCTAATTCCAAATCAGTGGTATACATTGGTCCAGTATCCCGAAGGAACAAATGACATATGAACCAATCGTTGGTCACCGGCTACCATGGGACTGCATCTCCCGACATTGCTCCACTGCCTTGTGGATCAAACCTTTAGGTCAAGGGCTCCATGTGTGGCCCTCTAAGAAAACCGCTTGCTTTGATCTGGGCACGCGGGCAGTATCACAGCCCACACATAAATCAAGTGACTTGTGTGGCGCATATGTATTCGGTACCTCTTTGTACCAATATTTATGTGTTCAAATAAATAAATAAGATATACAATAGAGGATTGAATAAAGAAATAAGAACCCAAAGAGATCTTATTAAAGAATTAAAAATATAATTGTTGTTAAAAATGTCAAAGAAACAAAGTAGGGAATAAACATGTTGAAGAGCATAATAATTTTACAAACGAAGCTATTAAAAACTTTTCTACCACATCGATTTCGGATTAATATCAAGACTCATTGCTATTGTAACCGACAGGCGTTTCTAGTGGCCTAAGAAAAAAGCTCTTACACATAATCAGTTTGACATATGCATCAATTTGTTTGCCAGGTTTATTTATTCAATGTACGTTTAGTCCTTCAAAGTTCAATAATACTCACTCATAATTCTAAAGTCATTAAGCTATTTATTCCTATAGTCTTAAATTTTGGTCATTTAAATCGTTTTTTTATCTTTCATGTGTTTAGTTCACTTTAAACTGTTTTTTAGTCATTTTTATGTTGTTTCTGATTACATTCGATTTTCCTACTTATTTTATCATTTAATACAATTCATTTTAGTAACTTTTAATACTTAGCCAGTTTCTATAGTAGGACTTTAGAAAGCAATAACGAAACTCCTTCCATGGAAATAGTTCAAATTCAACTAGTTTTTTGTTATTATTTCTGAATCCTCAACGTTTTATCACGTTGTGTTTTCCTTTATACTTTCTTATCTCTGTCGTTAACATATTGTTTCTCGATGCTGCTTTAAATTGTGCTTGATTAACATTTCATCAACTTTAAACTAGCAAACAAAATAATAAGTAAATAAATAAGATACATTATTCATCTTATCATTTTTGTTTACCTAGCATATCAACAAACTTCAGTTATCTTAAAAGCAGAAAACATTTATTTTGATCTTCGAAGCATTGTTCGAGTATAGTGGAACAACTAAGTAAGCAATTTTGACGTTAGGCTTAGAGTGGCAAAACACTTGATGAGTCTTCATCAAATGAGGTGTTTGAAACACATTCTCCGGATGTCTAGCCACCGCCTGCATCGACGCATAATGTTTAGTGATGTAATAGTAGGTTGGAAGAAAGTTAAATGCGAGAAAATTAAGACACGACATCAGTTCGTGTATCCACTGACTGCTGGGATGAGTCGTGTTTATAGGTTTAGACAGCTGACTGAGGTTCGTGTGACAATCTCGGTAAGTGGTTGAAAACTTTAAGTAGCATAGTTCAATACCGATCACAATCGCGAAGGTGTATCCACTTTTTATTTTACTCCAGATTTTGGATTTCAGTATTCTTTGATATATGCCTTTTCATCTTGTCTTTTCGAACCATATTCTCAGTGTTTAGTCTTTCCCATTATCATTGGTATTACATTATTTTGACTGCTTTTGTATTCACCTTTTTAAATTTATATCGTTTTACTATTGTACTGTGGTAATTTGGGTTAACACACACCTTTACCAAGCTCTATGGTTATCATGACTGACTTAAATAAAATGATGGGCTATTGTGATTATAAAAACTAATGACTGTCACGAAGTATTATTCTTCTAATGTATTTTTTTCTCATCACTAGCTTAGAATGGCCAGTACGCACTTTGGGATTCTCTTATGATGGCAAGTTAATTGCTGCAGCTAGCGAAGATCATTTCATTGATATTGGCCATGTACAAACAGGTAAGAATTGTAGCTTTTATTCATAATACAATTTTAATTTTAATTGGTATTTTAGTAGAGCACGAGTATGAACGTTTGGATAACTATAAATATCTTTAAGGCTACTGATGCACTTAATTTATGGATGAAAACAGATGTAAAAGTTTAATAGTGGAGTCTTTTTTTGTCATAAGCTAAAAGTGTCCGAAAAAATTAAAGTTTTCAATGTTTATCAAGATTGGAAAACGATCTAATTTGAGAAGTTATTGAAAACCAGAAAGCAATAGATAATTGTTCTGTCTTATAATGGGAAGTGCTCATTCATAACTTCATTGTGGATCGAACACAGTACATTCAGGTCTCTTAATTTTTAAATGACTGAGTCACCATCTTACTGTAATCAATCCAATATATTGTGCAACTATCTTTCATTGTCTTTGGTGATTAACTGCCTCACACTCGACACGGTTGCACTCTACTGGTCGTTAATTCACACTACTGTTACTCCCAATGGAGCATAGGCCGCCGACCTACCTTCTCCAACCCACTTTGTCCTAGGCCTTCCTTTTTAGTTCTATCCAATTGTTCATTCTTCTCATGTCTGTCTCCGTTTCTCGACGTAATATTTTCTTCGGTCAATTGTTGATAAATGCCCGACAAAGGACTTGAAAAACCCCGTTTGGAGCCCGTCCGGGTTACTGCCGGTCCCAAGCCGGGATAAAGTAGGAGGGTTGAGCATGAGGTTAGTTACCCCATCCCGTAGATAACTAACTTGCTAAAAAACGCTAACCATAAAAGATAATTCATTACTTCACACAACTTTCTGGCTCTATTAATATTATTATCTGCATTGTTGTGCTTATTCCACTTCACTATTAATGTAGAATGTAACAACTCAGACCGATACATATTTTGTCAGCCACACTGCTGTTTTTCATCTACTTATTTTCATACTCAAACTGAATTGATTTCGTCAATTAAAAAAGGACTCATTTAATTGTCTTTGTACTGTATATAAACTACCTTGTTCAATGAAACCTGTTACGATAAGTCAGTAATTGATTTTAGACTTACCAATAACTTATAAGACAAGTGTTTAATTAATTTATTTATTTATTCTCCCCTCTCTCAAAATAATCTAACAGGTGAACAAGTCTATCAAGTTGGGACACATGCATCGGCTACATTTGTACTTGCTTGGCATCCTCGACAGTATTTGTTGAGTTATTCAAGTGAAGCGAAATACGAACGAGATCAAGGTGTTATTCGATTATTTGGTTTAGTGAATGATGATTTATAAGGATTTTATGTATGAACATAAAGAGTAGTGAAAGCGTAATAATGAAAACAACATCAGAAAATAATCTCTTTTTTGTAAATTGTATAAAATTGTATATTCTTAATGCAAATATTTATAATGAAAACTGTTGTAGATTCATTAAAAACATATGTATAATGTTACTTGTCTTACAGTTTACTAATTCATTGGGGTTTGAATCCCATCCTTGTCACCAATTCAGTTGCATCTTAAGACGTCAACTAATATCATGTACTAAAGTTACCAGTCAGAAGTTTCTATTCTAATTTTGTTTATTCCTCAACTACTATTTCACCTTTAGCCTAATGTCCCAGACTTGACCGAATATACCAGCACTATTGATCTTCGGCCGACACAGCTAAGCTGTTATTGGTTCTGAATTTGTAAGCTCTTCCTTATACCCTGCTGTTACGTCTTTGATCTGTCTACCCACTTTTAGTGCTGAGGATACTTGTCTAATCTAGATTAAGGCCTTAACGCGATAAGCTGATCGGCATAATCTTGAGGCTAGTATGCGTGAGTTCGAAGTGGGGCAGAGAGCCGAAAACTATTCTATAACCTGATTAGCTGATAAGCACTCGAGTGAGTAAAGACAAGTTAACTGGAACACTACTCGATTTATTCTCAATTCCGATCTGGCTCCCGGTTTCAGATCAGTATAAAAAGAGGACATGAATAAATAGATGACTAACCCGACCACAACGTTCAACAATTAGGAAAATACAATTATGTCCAAAACTGAAGATTAGCGTAGAAAATAGAGTACAAAATAATACGTTTAAATTATAATAGCTTTGGGACAAAAAGGGTTATGGCACTGAATCATACATCAAACGAAAGCTTATGATATGTAGAATAGACTAGGGGCAAAAATAAATGTTACTGTTTTATAAGCTTTGATTTAATTAAATAACGTCTCGAAAAATAACTTCCGTAGTTTGTCAAGGTTTCTTGTTTCTCTGTTCACATCACCTACCTTATGTTGAAGAAGTCACAAACATACTTCGATTACTATTACATTTCAAATAAATGTGGGCTTATATCCAAACATACTTTAACGCCCCCCCCCCCCACCGTAAAGTAAAAAATCACAATCGTACACAAATAAGCCAAAAGTGGCTGTGAAAAATCGGTTGACAATGAAATAGAGATAACGATGGTTGAAGGGTTAAACGGAAGCTTAAAGAAGACGCAATATATAAATATCATAACTTCAGTTACTCAGTAAGTACACGAATAAAATATAAACAATAATAATAGTTTAAAAATCGTTTCATAATATTTGTCCAGTTATGTCAAAATCTTTATATAATCAGCTTCATTACGACTGGTGGAAATCTGTATTCACTGAGTAGTCATTATTGGTAGATGTACCGAAATAACGCATTCGGGATTAATTAACGTTAGAATACGCTTCTGGCTTCTCGAAGTATAAATAAATGAATGAAGTATTTCACAGTAAATGATGGTCAGTTTAGGCTACAAAATCACATTCAAGGTGATAAAATCAAACACAAAAATAAAAGCTCAGCACAGACAAGTTCAAAAATAATCAACTTAATGTAGCTGTGTGAAGGAAAAATGCATTGATCCAATGAAAGTACTGGTACTATGTGATCTAAACGAAAAGGTTTGCAATAAAAAAACTGGCTACTCATAAGTAGCAACAGTTAAAATACATAAATCTCACAACCGCCGTGAACTTGTTTTGAGAATTAATTGGATTGATTGTGAACAAAATGAACGTTGTGGTGTGAAACTGTTTGGACGGATCGCCATTTCCTTAAGAATTGACTTTATAATTACGTTGATTTCAAAGTTCCAAGACTAGGATTCATTCCAACATTGGGTGGAACATATTTCATAGAGAATGTTGTATCGTGCACAATCTAATTTTCCTTCTCATTGTTTAAACTTAAATTATAAGTAAAGCTTTGAATAATCCAGTACTTGAAACTCAGGACCGAATTTCAATTAGTCTGTTGATACATGTTTAATCAAACCTTACCAACAGTTATGTAGACGTCGTGCCCGTTGAACAAGTTAGCGGCCATTTGGATCCAGTAATTTAGTTGCTGTTTAAAACGAAAAGTTGGTGAACTGAAAACTGAGATGTTCAGCTGATGAGTTCACTTATGGCCACAATCCATTCATTCTGTACAAAATAGCTTATATTAGATTTAATAGCTTGCATCTTTTGATTCATTTCAGCTACCTTCGTTTGTCGATTCCTATCTGAAATTTATAATGACGAAATGTTTTGTCCACTTCTAAATGTCTTACTCATGCATGCGTATTTTCTTGCTTGTTATAATTTCTAAGATATTAATTCTTCATCATACAGATAGATCGATGAAGACCTTTTCTTGAATTGTTTGGTGAGTTGCACTGTTTTTGTCAGTAAATGTATGAAGCAGTCTAGGTCAATTGTATTAGAAAAGTAATATGTAAGAGAGTGTACTGCTGAATATCTTCGAGTCTACTCTGATACTTCACATAATAATCGACCTGAGAAAGGTTTTTATTATAACTCTCAACGGTGTCCAATTTCCAGAAGTTGAAACAGAGTTGTCGGGAAAGTGTATTTCAAGTACAGAATAAATCAAACGACTAGCGAGGACACAATGAGAAGGACGGATTAATGAATTTTGTTTAACAGGTAAATATTTATGCGGATACGATTGAGTCATCAAACGCTTTGAGTAAGTAGGAAAAATAAACGTGTAGATTATCACATGCATACTCAGTTGTACAAGTATGAATATGTATATGACATACAATTGGATAACTGTCCTCATTGAAGGTTGGCTGGATTATAATATTATTATAGCAAATATTGTAAACTATAAATACCTCTGTTTTTCTGTACATTTATGACTCTTACTCAATTATTGTCTCTTCTATTTCCTCCATCTTTCGATTTATGACTGTGAGGTTCGATATTTTCGAATGCCGATAGTTGTATACTGTATTCTTCCTTAATCAAGTAGGGGACGTAACTATTACAAACGGTTCCATCACCACTACCATAACTGAAAATAAACACTGATATAGTTCATTCTTATAGATGAATAAAAGTGTACTACATCACGCATAAAGGAAGGCATGAATGAACATTCGGATTTATTGTACACCTGAAATAATTCAAAATATATGTTTGAATACAATGAGTTCAATACGACGCACATATCCGGTTAACATTTAAATTTAAATACACTGAACTGGTTTGTATAATTTAACACTAATTAGTCAGTAAATTGTTGAATGTATACAGTATTAATGGATTGAATTAATCTAACTAATAAATATAAGAAGGGGTTTTTGTGGATATTATAGTAATTTCAATAGTTAAGATCATGAATCAATTGAAGCTAAACTACCACGGAAAACCTGGAAGCACTGGATGATTGTTTCGTCCTATTGTGGGATGCTCACTGATGAGGAGTCTCACAATAAAACGAAGTGGCCGTCAAGTGCTTCCAGGTTTTCCATGGTGGTCTAACTTCAATTGACTCATGATCTCAACTATTTTATTAAATATAACTGAATTATCTATTTTTTCCTTTTAAGAAATTTCAAACGCACATTAACTAAAAGACTAATATTTGAATGAAGAATATTCTTTTCAATGAATTCTCTTCAGATTCTACAATTATATAATCCAAATTATTAAATCCGAAAAATGACCAGGTTAAGAACAAAGTACATCGTTTAAAGTCAAGGCATGTGAATCCAAGATTGTCAAACAAAATAGGATAAAATAAAATTGTTAATGTTGATATGAATCATATAGAATGTTAACTTGGATCTGTTTATATGTCAAGTGAAAATTTTGAGATCCATTATCCGAATAAATATGTGAAGATAATAATAATAATAATACAAAGATTTGTGAATAAAGATAACAGAGACAATTACATTTGACTACGAAAGGTTGTAAGTACAATAGTCAGATTAGATCATTCAATAGCTAAGATTACTACTGATTAATTGACCTTGTAGTTGGTCAGGGTTGAAAATGTTTCTACTATGATTTTGAGATGGTGAAGATTTTTATCTCAGGTGGATGATTTTGATGGAATATTATTCTTTGAGCTGGATGTTTTAGTCGTGGAGCTTTCATCGTTCTTCTATGTACAACATTTTATTAACTTGACGATACTAATATGTAGTTTTATAATCTATTCTATTAGAAAAATGTAATTCTTTTTATTTTTAACTATTAAACTGCAAATCGGTCATTTAGATAAACCAGTTTTCTTCAACCAACCCGATGTGTATATCATTTTTCCATAACTCAACGTTTTCTTGAGAAATTATTTTGCTAATTGAGTTTGACTACTATCAAAATATGAGTAGGCCGATAAGCGATACCCACATTTTACCTGGTACAGTTTATATTGAACTGCTTGTCGTCATTGCGAAAACAAATAAATTTTCATTAATATTCATACCATCAAGAATTGTTAGCTTTTCACTCAAACATTTTATTATTGCGATTTAAGAACTGTTAAGTACTTTCGTTTTATTTTTAAATCAAGTGTACCAGTCCACTCGATGTTATCGATACGCCCTAATGATGAGTGTTAAGTAACACTGTACGTAGGTTCACAGTTCTCCACTGACTATCTCCAACCACCTAATATCTAAGTACTAACTATAACTAGTGGATTGAATGATTCAAGTCAATTATTTCTAAGGATCAAGTATCATAATACTGGTAACTATTCAGTAACTGCATTGCCTTTAAAAAACTTTCCACCTTATAAATTAAGTTTAAATTTCTTGATATGCCAATTCTATTAACTTTTTTAAACACACTTTATTTAAGTTGAGTAAACATTTCTGTGGAACACATATAAACATTTAAATAACAATATCTTATAATTTTGCCACTGTAAACTTACAAGATTTTATATATGATAGCATGTGATCATATGTTTCATTTAGGAATTGAACCACAATAGTTCCTTCTTATTGAT